AATGAGGTCAGCGACAGTGGGAAAGGCAGCAAGGTTAGGGAAGAGGTACGGTAGCATGAGGCGGCTCAGTGTATCAGTGGCAGGGGAGGAGTAGCGTGCAACTACAGCGTCGTACAAGGTCTGAGCACTCTTGTACTGGCTAAAGTGCGCACGCTCAGAGGTAGGCAGGTGGCGATGCACAGCAAGACGTGCAGCAGCATCGGGTGTGGCCCACTGTGAGCGAACAGTGGCGTCAGCATCAGCAGCAGGGGCAGGAGAGGCACCAGAGGTGAGGTCAAAGAGGGAGAGACCGTCTGCCCTATCGCACTGTAGGAAAAGCTGCAGGTCATCTACCCAGACATCAAAGTCAATGGCCCGACCGGAGTAGCGAGGACACTAGGGGTAGCCATGACAGCAGTAGACTAGTAGCGCAAACAGTGGGGTAAGGGCAGTGCAGTGACAGAGGCGCTGCTCTTACCGGAAAGGGCGGCTCGGGCAGCTCGGCGGCTCGGCAGCTCCGCAGGAACTGCAGCTCGGTGGCTCGGCAGGAACTGCAGCTCGGCGGCTCTGCTTCTCTGCGGCTCGGGCGGCTCGGCTACTCTGCGACTCGGGCGGCTCGGGCGGCTCGGGCGGCTCGGGCGGCTCAGGCAACTCGGGCGGCTCGGGCGGCTCGGCGGGACGGCGGCTCGGGCGGCTCGGGTGGCTCGGGCGGCTTAGGCGACTCGGCGGGGCGGCGGCTCGGGCGGCTCAGGTGGCGCGGCGGCTCGGGTGGCGCTGGCGGCTCGGCAGTAGCCCGGCGGGGCCGCGTGAAGGCGGGGTCGGGGCCGGGAAGGGCGTGCGACGGGGCCAGCAGGGGCTGGGCCGGGGCCCTAGGGTAGGCGACGGGGCCAGAGGTAGGCGACGGGGCCGCAGGTAGGCGGCGGGGCCGCTGGTAGGTGACGGGGCCGCAGGTAGGCGGCGGGGCCGCAGGTAGGCGACGGGGCCGCAGGTAGGTGGCGGGGCCGCATGTAGGCGACGGGGCCGCAGGTAGGCGACGGGGCCGCAGAAAGGCGGCAGGGTCGCAGGTAGGCGACGGGGCCGCAGGGTCGGGGCCGGGTCGGGAAGGGCGGCGCGAGGGCCGCGGGGTAGGCGACGGGGCCGAAAGGGCGGCGAATCGGGGCCGCGAAGGGCGGCTCGAGGGCCGCGGGGTAGGTGACTAGGCCGCTAGGGCGGCGAATTGGGGCCGTCAAGGGCGGCGCGACACAGCCGCTAGGGCGGCGCGACACATTGAGAAAGGGGGAGCGCGACTCGGGCAAGGGCGTAGCGCGCTCCGGGCAGGAAAAAAAAAATCGAATCGGTGGGCCCTAGGAACAGTTCCCACGAGGGAACCTACTCGATACCATGAGAAAACTGAAACGAGAATGAATGCACTATGAAAGAGTTGGGTACAAGTACTAACCCTAATTGGGTTGTACCCTATATGGGCTACCCCACTACAGCCTACACAAAAGCATAAGCTATAATGTTATGACAGATTTTAACAATAGCCGTTGTTGCCATCGGGGCCGTTGGCATTGCTGTCGGCGTCGCCGTCGTCGTCGCCGCTGCACGTGTCGGTGCTGCACGCGACTGTTGCGGTGACTGTTGCTGCTGCGCCTGCCTTGCCTCGTCCACATCCATCTTGCCTTCCAGCTCGCTCCAGACCCGCTCTTCTGGTGCAGTGCTGCTACTTGCGTCGTCCACGACAGGCGACTCCTGGCGCGCTTCTGTCAGAATGTTATTGTATACATCATTTTATAACTGCCTGCAATGTAGACTTAGTGTAGTTATCTTGCTTGTTAGGTGGTGCACCTTGCTTCACTTCTTTCATATTTGTACCCTTGAACCCTCAAACTAAAGCCACTAAGCTCCTAAGCTATGGCTCCTAAGCCCACCTACTCTTAGCTCATTCCTCATTCTTCACATGGAATCAGAGCGACTACGCTCTTGGCCTGTGGGCCCCACGTGCTTCCGCTGCTTTCTTGTCTGTCGCGCGCCCCGTGGCGTGCGACACTTTTTTCTTCCCGCCACGTGCTCCGGGCGCATGGCGGTTTTCCGCCCGCCGTGCGCCCCGGACGTGCGGCATCTTCATGCCCCGTCGCCGCCCTTCTCGGCCCCTCACGGCCTCTTCGCGGCCCCGTCGCTGCTCCTCTCACGGCCCCTCACGCTACCCTCAGTGGCCCCGTCGCCACACTTTGCGGCCCTGTCGCCGCCCCTATCGGCCCTGTCGCCACTCCTAGCGGCCCCGTCGCCGCCCCTAGCGGCCTCGTCACCGCCCTTCTCGGCCCCTCGCAACCCCTTCGCGGCCCTGTCGCAGCCCCTTCTCGGCCCCGTCGCCGCCTTTAGCGGCCCCATTGCCGCCCCTAGCGGCCCCGTCGCCGCTCTTCGCGGCCCCGTTGCCGCCCCTAGCGGCTCCGTTGCCGCCCCTTGTGGCCCCGTCACCTGCTCGTCGCGGCACACCCCCCCCTGGCCGCCACCTCTGCCTCCCCTGCGCCCGTGCCTGTTTTGCAGCAGCGCGCGGGCCTGCCTTGCAACAGCAGCCGCCCCTGGAGCAGCCGCCCCAGCAGCAGCCGCCCCAGGAGCAGCCGCCGCTGCAGCAGCCGCCCCTGGAGCCGCCGCCCCTGAAGCAGCCGCCCCTGGAGCAGCCGCCACTGCAGCAGCCGCCCCTGGAGCCGCTACCCCTGCAGCAGCCGCCACTGCAGCAGCAGCCCCTGGAGCAGCCGCCCCAGCAGCAGGCGCCCCTGGAGCAGCCGCCGTTGCAGCAGCCGCCCCTGGAGCCGCTACCACTGCAGCAGCCACCACTGCAGCAGCAGCCCCTGGAGCAGCCGCCCCAGCAGCAGCCGCCGCTGCAGCAGCCGCCCCTGGAGCCGCTACCCCTGCAGCAGCCGCCACTGCAGCAGCAGCCCCTGGAGCAGCCGCCCCAGCAGCAGCCGCCCCTGGAGCAGCCGCCGCTGCAGCAGCCGCCCCTGGAGCCGCTACCCCTGCAGCAGCCGCCACTGCAGCAGCAGCCCCTGGAGCAGCCGCCCCAGCAGCAGCCGCCTCTGGAGCAGCCGCCGCTGCAGCAGCCGCCCTTGGAGCCGCCGCCCCTGAAGCAGCCGCCCCTGGAGCAGCCGCCACTGCAGCAGCCGCCCCTATAGCCGCTACCCCTGCAGCAGCCGCCCCTGAAGCGGCCGCCCCTGCAGGAGCCGCCCCTGGCCACTGGAGCAGCCGCCACTGCAGCAGCCGCTCCCGGACCCGGTGCAGCCGTGGGGGGGTGGGTATGGGGGTGGCGGGTGTGGGGGTGATGAGTGTGGGAGGTATGGGGGTGGCGGGTGTGAGGGTGATGAGTGTGGGAAGGGGTGCGGCAAGGGGTGTGAAAGGGGTGTGGGACAGGTGAGCGAGGTTGAGTGGAGGTGGCCGCCGTGAAGTCAGCAGCTCCAGTCGCCCGTGAGACCGTTGCGCTAGTCGCCCGTGAGCCCGTCGCTCCAGTCGCCCGTGAGCCCGTTGCTCCAGTCGCCCGTGAGTCTGTTACTCCTGCCGCTCGTCTAGCCGCGGAGTCAGTTACTCCAGTTGCCCGTGTGCCAGTTGCTCCAGTTGCCAGTGTGCCAGTTGCTCCAGTTGCCCGTGTGCCAGTTGCTCCAGTTGCCAGTGTGCCAGTTGCTCCAGTTGCCCGTGTGCCAGTTGCTCCAGTTGTGCAGTGTGCCAGCAGCTTCAGCTGCCGCCCACCACCTCCTTTTGTCTCATAGTCCCTCCTCCTCCTCACTTGCCCTCTCCGTCTGCTGCGCTCTGCTTGGTGTACCCCTTTTGGGGGTGTTTCTGCACTTGGTTCTTCACTGCAGGCAGTTAGGGGGTGTGTCAGAATGTTATTGTATACATCACTTTATAACTGCCTGCAATGTAGACTTAGTGTAGTTATCTTGCTTGTTAGGTGGTGCACCTTGCTTCACTTCTTTCATATTTGTACCCTTGAACCCTCGAACTAAAGCCACTAAGCTCCTAAGCTATGGCTCTTAAGCCCACCTACTCTTAGCTCATTCCTCATTCTTCACAGCTTTACCACGCGCCTGGTGTAGTCCGGCGTTTTCCTCCCGAAGACGCGCCATTTCTGCAGACATCGTCTGCATGTTGGCCTGCATCATCCGGAACTGTTGCATGAACTCGTTGAACTCCGCCTGGTCCATGTGTCAGGCTTCGTCTAACGGGCAGGGGGTGGTTATCGATTTTTCTGACTTCGGTGAAGGCGTTAATGCTATCGTAGTCGGAGTGGAATAATCGGATCTATTCCACGGGCCGACCGCTTAACAGCCGACCAAGTCTATCGCTCCCCTTCTACAAACTACCGCGGAAACGCGAGGGTAACCTAGGAAATTAGGCTCTGATACCAGGTGTTATGAGTTGTGAAAGGAAGAGTGCGCAGTACTCAATAATGCGGAAGTGATTACAACGTCTGAGAACACAACGAGGCCTAGGACTAATATAGCGAAGCTAGCTAGGCCGAGGTCGCGGGGTCGCGAGATGGTTGGGTGCAGGTTCGGGGTTGGGAAACCCGAAAGCGGCGCGGTAGTGGCACGGAAGACGAGGTCGGCGGACCGAGCCTGGTTTCCCGAAAGTCGGGGTTGTACGCGTACAGTGTGACCCAGTAAGGAATCCGAAAAATTCCTTACACTCACCTTCACATTCAGAATCAAGCATTGTTAATGTCATTTGATAGTGTTTATACGCATCTTTTATATGTACTAGCATCATTCATTCAGGGTACATTCCGCTGTGGACACATGTCCCAATCGATGTGTCCCAATCGAGTGTACCGCTCCGAACCGAACTAAACCAGAGACGCGAAAATTTCGAAACTAGGGTGCAATTTGGTGTAATACGATGCAGTGCGGTAGAAACGATTGGGACACATCGATTGGGACATGTGTCCACAGCGGAATGTACCCTCAGTACATGTGGAGTTGCAGGTGCTATCACATCAATCCTTAGTCTCAAAAGAATGGTTGGCTAGTGCCACCGACTGGGCCAATCTATTTGGTGGCGTCTGGGATCCTCATTCCAAGTCCGCGCTTTCGGTTGTCAAGGCTGTGGAGGGAAAGCAGATGAGAGAACAGAGGTTTTTTACGAAACACCCGTGCAGGCTGAGAGTAAGGGAGAGCATGCAGATCTGTTTGTGTGCTTGTAAGCAGTACCCAAGTCTGACCAGGCACTTAACACTTAGCTAAGACACCAGCCTTCACACACCAGCTCGCCTCCACTCAACAAGCCATGCAATCCTGAAACCACTCTCAACCCATCCCCAGTGACACTTCTCAATCCCAACACATCCCCAATCGTCCTCCAACCCTATCCTTCCCACATACGAGGGTGCAAGCTTCCCTAGGTTGACCAGGAACCCCCTGCTAAGCCCATCAAACACGTTCCATTCGCCTCGACTCGATACGACATGTTGTCTGTCAGCGGCAGCCCCCCCTTAACCCCTCCCACCTGACATCTCCCCAATCACTCAGAGAAACCCAGCCTTCACACTCACGAGGGTGCGAGCTTCCCAAGGTTGACCAGGAACTCCCCGCTGAGGCCGTCAAACACATTCCCGTTCGCCTCGACTCGATACGCCATGTTGTCTGTCAGCGGCAGCCCCCCCTTAACCCCTCCCACCTGACATCTCCCCAATCACTCAGAGAAACCCAGCCTTCACACTCACGAGGGTGCGAGCTTCCCAAGGTTGACCAGGAACTCCCCACTGAGACCGTCAAACACATTCCCGTTCGCCTCGACTCGATACGCCATGTTGTCTGTCAGCGGCAGCCCCCTCTTCACGAGTCTGTCCAGGTCCTTGCGATGCAGCTCCCTTGCATTCACATACACCTTGGTGTTTCCCCCAGAGCAGTTCTTTGGAAGAGCAGGCCCAAGGTCGATGCCAGGCTGGTGAGGGAAAGAGGGAGGAGGCAGGCAGAGTCAGAGAGATCATGTTATTACCACTGCTCTGGTTCCATCCTTGCGATGCAGCTCCCTCGCATTCACATACACCTTGGTGTTGCCCCCAGAGCAGTTCTTTGGAAGAGCAGGCCCAAGGTCGATGCCAGGCTGGTGAGGGAGAGGTCAGAGTTGTCATGAGGAGAAAGAAAAAGAGTCTGTGTGTCTGTATTTCAGCAAGAGTCCCCTCCCAACCAGTCTTCCTAGGTCCTTGCAGTGAAGCTCCCTCGCATTCACATACACCTTGGCGTCGCAATAAGACCAGTTACTCAAAAGGAGCCAAAGGAAAGATACTCACACAAGGCACTTGCTAAAGTGCAATGCCCTTGTCTTCTACTGCATCACGCCTTCAGGAACTTGCTGAATCAGGTGTGTTTACTGTATTGATTGGACGTTTTATCCTGGGATATTTCTAAGGCGCCTCAAGACTTGTCGTACAGAACGCTGAGTTCATCGGGGTTGACTATTGGAGTTATTTGGAAGTTTATCCAAGGCCCTCAGACAAGCAGAGCAGCAGACAACTCAACTCACCGGAATCATCCCGAGGCAGGGCCCTCCCATTTGGCCCCAGAAACCAGCCACCTGGTCGTACCTGCAAGGGAGAGTTGGTGACACAGACAGGTGGATAGAAGTGAGAGAATAAAAAAGAGAGAAACAGAGCGTAAAAAAGTGAGTGAAACAATCAATTTAGTTACGGAACACCACACACCTGGGAGGGAGAGAGAGAGAGAGAGAGAGAGAGAAAAAAAGGATGGCCTGAATGGGTGCGTCTATTCTTTAGGAGACTTCGAAAAGCATGGCGCCACGCACAGGCGAGGTGAGGGTGTTTTTGAGACGTCTCAAAGACTTCGAAAAGCATGGCGCCACGCACAGGCGCTTACCAGTAGTTGCCAGGCTGGATCGGCCCCGCGCGTTCCTCCGCAGCTGCCACATGGCCATCACTGATTGGCTCCCCATTCACCACCACACACCGCGAGTACATCAACCTTCCATCCCCACTCACTGCCCCAGCACCACCCCCACCAGCAGAACCCATCTTATTCCCCGTACTAGCCATCCCACCACCACCACCCACAAGAGCCGACCCAGAGTCCACTCTACCCATACTACTACTGCTTGTAGCTCTGGCATCGCCTCCCTTGCTTCCAACCTTGGCAGGGGGAGTCCCAGCAGGAGACTCACTATCAGACGAATTCCTAACCGAGCCTACTGGTGACAGCATTCCAGCGCTGTTGCACCTAAGCGACTCAAAGCTCCCAGCCCTTCCTATCCTTCCTTGACCATCCGAGCCTGTTGCCGAACCTGCTCCCAAGCCTGTTCTCGGACCTGCTGCCAAGCCTGATCCAGACCTACCGGGCCCCAAACCTGATTTAAGGGGTTTGGAGGGGCTAGAATTGGTGCCTCTGCTGCTCCTTCCTCTGCCCGAACCTGCTGCAGCCGCAGCAGGCATGGTTCCTAGGACACCACCAGACCCTTTATGAGCAGTCCCGTTACTGGCAGCCCCAGGGCTTCGTACAGTGGCTGCTGCGCCATCAATAGAAGATTTCTCATGAAGAGCGGTGGCGGCCCTGGCTTCCGTAGAGTCAGTGGAAGCGGAGCGACCCCAGAGGTACTGCTGCTGTTGCTGTTGCTTTGTGGCATCTATTGCGGAAAAAGACGAGGAGCGGACATGCTGTTGATTACCCTGCTGCTGCTGCTGCTGCTGCTGCTGCAGTGGCGGCGGCGGCGACAGTGGCGGCTGCTGCTGGTGGTGGTGTGGCTGCTGCTGTGGCTGAAACGGCTGCTGCAGCTGCAAGTGGGGCATGTGTGGGATGAAGGCTCGGAAGCGCGAGAGACCAATGCACTTCCCACAGCGCAGCTTGTGCACGCCCTTCTTGGTGGGCGGCAGCACGGCCGGGATCTCCAGAAGCTGCCCGCAGTGCTGGCACTGAGAAATGTCGGCAGGGGAATCGGCAGGAAAGGGGACAAGGATGGAGAAAAAAAGGCTTATTGAGACGTTCAAAGGGCTCGGAAGCGCGAGAGGGAGATGCACATGCACTTCATGCAGCGCAGCTTGTGCACACCCTTCTTGGTGGGCGGCAGCACGGCAGGGATCTCCAGAAGCTGCCCGCAGTGCTGGCACTGAGGGGAAGAGATGGGAGAACGGGGAGAATAAAGGGGCCGAGTGAACATGAGGAGGCGGGAGAACATTTTGAGGCGCCTCAAAATGCACCTCACTACACGCGAAAAAAGGGGCCGAGTGAACATGAGGAGGCGGGGGAACATTTTGAGGCGCCTCAAAATGCACCTCACTACACGCGAAAAAAGGGGCCGAGTGAACATGAGGAGGCAGGGGAACATTTTGAGGCGCCTCAAAATGCACCTCACTACACGCGAAAAGAGGGGCCAAGTAAACATGAGGAGGCGAGGGGACCGGCGACGAGAAAGGAGGACGTGGGGAGCAGAAATATGGTTGAGTTACCTCCTCAGTTCACTCATTTCACCGTACTTTGGGATGAGTGGCCTGTCTGTAACGGGCAGGAGGTAACAACAAACTGTGGGATGAGGTGAGTGAGTAGGAAGGGAAGGGACAGACCGACGGTTCCTCCTGGGGAAATTTTTTGAGGCGTCTCAAAACATCTCTTTTATCACGTAGGGATGGGACAGACCGACGGTTCCTCCTGGGGAAAATGCATCTCTTGACAAAAGGACAGATCCATGGTGCTGGTGGGAACCAAACAGGAATGTGTCTGTTTCTGCTCCGTCACTGGCAGATTGCTTGCCACTCTTATCATTCGGTGAGGCTTTGGTTTCATAACAGTTTCCTCGAATCCAATTTTTCTTTTTTTCTTGAGACTTTGAACACCTGGTTCTTTTCTTTTTCCTGTTTTTTTTTTTTTTTTTTTTTTCTTCTTCTTCTTCTTCTTTTCTTTTTTTCCTTTTTTTTTTCTCTTTTCCTCTTTTTTTCTTTTTTTCTTTGCTAGCATGACCTTCGGCGACAAGATCGAAGCTTATACAAACGAGCCCCCATGAGCTTCCATCCACTTAAAACTATGCTCCCCCTCCTGTCCACTTGCCCGAACAACCAAGTCCCTTTTGACACAACAACGAACCAAGGAGCTCCTTATTTTTTCATTGTTAGCATTGTTAGTTAGCTCCTTATTCGCACCAAGTCAACTGAGTGACACGTTCCCTTCTTAGGGCGAATTTGCTACCTCACTGCCTTGCATAACCTCTCGTCCAGAAAAAAAGAACGACAGAAAACTAGATACCTGACCAGTCCCTGTGGATCCCCCAAAACCCCTCACCCATCCCAATCATCTCCCCGTCATCTCACCCTAAACCCGGAGAATCTGAGGCCTTCAAAGGCATAGAAACCCCATCAGCTCACCTGCACGACTTGAGGCAGCCCCGGCGGTGGCAGCATGGGCAGATTATCCGCCTCCCCCTCGCCCCGTTCCCCCTCTTCCCCAACCTGCGCCAGCTGGAAAAACCCCGCACGGGTGGGGGACTTCAATGCCCCCGCGCCAGAGGTGTTCCCCCCAGGGACGCTTCCCCCAAGCCCCTCCATCCGCGGAATGGCGGACACGGTCCGCGCAGGGCGCCCGACTCCCCCTCCCCCTCCCCCCTTCAACCCCGAACCTGCTGCCGAGCCTGTTCCCGGACTTGCCCTCGAGGCTGCACCTGCTGCCGAGCCTCGTGACTGAACTGGGGAGTACTGAGGAGCAACAGCAGCCCTCATCCCCAACGGCTGCACCAACACTCTTCCACTACTATCCATAGTAGGGGTTGATACACCCTCCCCTCCCGTGCCTCGCACACTAAAGACTCTAGGATCTGCAACCTCTTGCCCTCCCAGGCTAAGAACACGCACACCGCCGCCCGCCCGCCCTCTATACCCCATTGTAGTCACAGCCTTGGTGAAAGTTCCTGCGTTACCCTCACTCCCTGCCGCCAACCCACGGGGTTTCGGGCTCTTCGCGCCGGGTGGTAACCCGTCGCCTTGTAACGCGGATTTCTGCAAGCTAGCGGGTAGGACCTGGCCGCTGACTGCTCGCCTTAGTCCTTGTGACTGCCCTCCTGCTGCCACCCCTCCCGCTCCCCCTCCTGCTGCCACTCCCGCACCTATTACCGCTCCCCTTCCTGCTACTGCTCCTGCGATTTTTGCTCCTGGATTTCCTCCTCCTTCTTTCGCCGCAGCTGCTGCTGCTGCTAGTGCCGCCACACCCACCGCCGCTCGTTGCTGTTGCGCCTGCTGCGGCCGCCGCTGCTGCCCTTGCTGCGGAGACCTCTTTCGCACGTCCATTTCGCCCATCGTCACTGCCCGTGAAAACGTTTCGCCGGTTTCGCTGCTGATCTTCTGTCTGTTCGAGAGCCCGTAGGTACCACCAGGAACACCGCCTCCGGCCCCGATACTACCAGACCCGATAGCGGTAGCGCTAGCAACGCCGCTAACGCTAACGCCGCTGCCAGCGGCAACGCTGCGTCCGGAAAAAGCAGCGTTATTAGAAGCCATCGCAAGAGCTTTAAGACCGATCGCGCCGACTGGCCCTCCAGCGGGTTTCACGGGGGAGGTTTGGAACCTGGGCTTGCACCCAAGCGTCATGGACCGGCCGAACTTATCCGCCTCGTTTTCCGGCTCGTATTCGTCGTCATCGTCATCGTCATCGTCGTCGTCATCATCATCGTCGTCGTCGTCGTCTTCGTCTCCGTCATCGTTATCGTCATCGTCATCGTCATTGCAATCGTCATCGTTAGAAGCAAGTGCAGCTTGCTGTTTCTGCTCCTCGAGCTGAGGCTGCTGAGAGTGTGACTGCGGACGCTGCGGAGAGATGTCGTCATGCCCCCGCTGTAAGCCCAGCATGGACGGCGTGAATCCTTGATGCAGCGCGAGAGCAGTCTTTCCGTCTACAAGCGACACTGTGCGACTGATATGCGACGGAAGGTGCGACTGCTGCTGCGATTGTTGCTGCGACTGCTGATGTAACTTCTGCTGTTGCTGTTGCTGCAGTAGCAGCTGTTGCTTCTCAACGGCGATTGACCGTTGGACGAGCAGCGACTGCACTCGGTTGTCCCCTCCAATAGCTGCCGACGAGTCGTCTGTATCTGCGCTCGCTGATCGACCTTTCTTTCCTGGAAAGTTCGCCTTAAGAACTCCACCGCCGCCGTTAACGATGCCGGAAGTTGCTCGGAAGAGTCGCGCGTGCTCCGGCGACACATCTAAGAGCGATGTGCGACGAGAAATGGTTGGCTCTCGGCAGTAGGTAGGCTCATCTGGCGTGCTGTTCGCGATTTGCGTTGATCCCTGAGGGAAGCTCATCCTGTTCTCGCAAGAATTTGTCTTTTGAGTGTCAACTCTGAACAATGCTTTGGTTGTTAGTTGAAACGGTGACTAGATTATTGTGCTGGCTCCTGGGGGAAGCAACGAGATTGGGACCTCGACTGATTGAATAATGTTCCAACGCACATGCCCTGGTAAAGCTTCACAATACGTAAGTCGATATCACACGGAACTAGCTATGGCGGCTGAAACTGACAAGCACCAGAGATAAGAACAGAACGCTATGGGAAGCCATTCACGGGCTAAGGCCGTGGAACCTCCAACTAAATTGACTGGTAAAATTACTGGAAGTGAGAACGAGAACCACCACTGACCTAAATTCCGGATTTGCACACGTAACATCTTTAAAAGACGCGTTTTTCCAGAGTATGCAGCCAAGAGGCTGTGTATTGTCGAGAAATAAGTTGAAGACGAGTACACCTGATGCCTGTTCGAGCCCCTCCTGGCTGCCTTGTGAAGGAGGCGTCTAAGCTGTAACGAGGTCTTTCGCTAAGCTTCGTCAATCCGCAGCTAGCTAAAAAGGATTCGCATGTGCTTACATACAAGATCTGTTACCATTTTTGACTTCAGTCTATTCTGCTTGACTTCGGTCTGTTCGTTACTATTGGTTGATAAACACGCGACGCGCTTGTAATGTAGGTGCATGAGGCTGAGGAAACAACCTCGGGTGCAGCGTATCCATCCGGCACAAGGCAAATTCGCGTGCATGGGGTGAGCATCGGCTGTATGAACAGAGGTCATGTGCGGAGATCTGTGATGGTGGTGGTTGTGGCGGCGACAGGGCGAACAAATGGCAATTAGGGATGTGACGGGAGAGGTCAGTGGGGTGGTGGTAGTTAATGCGTGCACAGCTGGTACCGACCCGCTACCTTTGTGTACCGTTCTGCTTGGTTCTCTAACCGTTTCAGACGTAACAAAACTTCAAGAAACCTGACCGTGCTTGGGACATTGGACGAGCAGGTGACCACAGGTTCCACCACCACCTCCTGCCCGCCCTCCCGCGCGCAGTGGAGTCAAGCGGGCATACTGTACTGTTTGATTACACGTGGCTGAATTGGAACAAGGGGCCCATTCCTCCACGCATTGTGATTGAGCAAATCTGCGAAACTGTCAGGGCGTGTTGCAAGTTAGAAAATTGAAGGATTGTGGCTGTACACCGATTCCTCGTCGTCGATCCTCTGCACTTTCGATCCGCCAAAATCATCTGTACCAAAAGATCCGCAACATAGAACATCCTGTTCGTCAATGTCTCGTCTGATCTTGCGGCCCATGTGACACTTGCTAGCGAGTTTTCAGACAATCGCGAAATGGTTTCGTGGCTGTAGGATTTTTGCGTGTCTATCTTACGATCGGTCTTCATTGCAGGGACGATCCAGCTGGCCTTCACACGTTTCATCGGTCGTGCACAATACTGCCACTGTAGTATGGTAACCATACAGTGGGTATCGGTTCAAAGAGGTGATCGATCCCCTACTTGCAAGTCATTTAAGAAAGAATGTAGGGATTCACAAATCCTTACTGAGGCAGTCGTTAGCCTGGACATCCCAAGGGCCACGTGACATTTCCACAACCAAACCTCACCGAGTCGCCTCCGCACCAATCGCGACCTTACGCGGGCCATCCTTTCCCGACCTCCTTGCATAGCTAGCTTTCCCCCTATTTAGATCTCGCCACTTTCATTGTATCGTCAATCTGCAATTCAGTTTCGTTATTACTTATTATGCGCACTCTGTAAGTTCATTCATAACAACGACAGACAACTGTAACACGTACTCAACTATACCTATGCATGGATCAGTTTTGAGCGAACGTAATTTTTTGGTCGGCGAAATTTTGCGAATAATGATGCTCTACGTCATGAGTGATTCACTATAGTACTGGACTGTAGCTTCGTCGGTGTCGATGGCGGGACCGGCGTACATCATTTGAGCACTTTGGAGGAGCAGCTCTAGCTCGAAACTCGACATGTAGAAATCCCATCCATTGAAGCCGCTGCTTGTGTGAATCTTTTAGATGGCCAGAAACTTGTTCTGGGTCGTGAGGATGGCTTCGTCACTTGGATGAGAAGAAGTTGTGCAAGGTGAATAAGAGCCAAGGTCAAATATGTTGGGAGCGGCCGGTTGTTCGAATTGTTGCGAGGTGTTACGAATAGTGAAACACTATTGTGCACTCCTAACCGCAGCTAAGTGAAGCACGCAGTATCGAGAATCAATGCGAGGAGTCAGAGTTGACTCGAAGCGACACATAGATCTGGACCGTCGGAGCAAACGACATCGGGCAGCTGCAGGGAAGAGGGATTTGGCGAGAACAATTTCATAACTGTTTGAGTCGCACGGTTGGTTTGAATTCGAATCAGGGAATGTACCCCTTAGAGTACACGGCTAGATAGGTCATTTCGAATTCCCTTACACTCATATTTATACTTTTTGTACTTGCGTGTTTTAATCATCTCAAGCATTTTACATTCACTCTGCTATTGAGGTCAAGGGCCCACCACCACTACTCTGACGTGTGTGAACCTTTCCGAGGTGAACCTAGTGTCTATCATTATCTGATCGTAACACGAAGCACCCAAGTTTTTGTTCTTCAATTGCTGAATTCCTGACTCCAGTTTGGTGATAAGCTGGACAAGTTATTCTAGAAGCGCATTATTGACGGTAGTGTTTGCCGTCTGCTTACCATATCCTTCGGCCATGTTTCAGCGGGAGCGCGTACCGAACACCACCTTGGATTGGAATTTGAATTATACATAGTGGGGCGAAAAATCCCCAGTGGCAGGGTTGGTGTTTCAAGCGTAGACACCCTGATGTCCACCTTTTTTTTTAACGGTCAAAGACATATTTTCTAGAAAAACAGCACCCTGATTGCTCATTGTTGGAAAGTTATATAGTTTGATAGTATAGGGTCGAGAAGTCAGGATCAGAGTAGTAACGCGCTGTGCATTATCGAAACTAAACCTCGATATAAGTTTTTCTGGAACAAAATTTCGCAAAAAACTTCGTCCCGATAAAGCGGGGGGCTACGCACATGGGGGTACTCGTACAAAGACCCCTAGAAACTCGCACCACAATCTTGATGGTGAGCGTGTCGGAACGAAAGTTAAAAATAAAAAATATAAAAAAAAGGATACAGCGAGAGGGAATTACGCACATGGGGGGTACACGTACGAATTTCTTGAAACCTTCGCTATGATAATGTCTCATTCGGGGTTGTTCACGCGCTGGCTGTACTACGATCAAATCGAAGGTGGGGTTTTCGGAAATATATTTTTTCAATAAATTTCCTCTCGATAAGGTCAAATTCAGAAACCACAGAGTCGATACTCAGTAAAGTCAGGGTCCTCTAACAGGATAGTCTGTTACACTTGTGAAACAAAGAACGCGAATGAATGAACTATGAAATGAGTGAGTACAAGTACCAACCTTAATTGGGTTATACCC